AAGCAAAGAAGAACTCAGCTAGCAAGCTTTCGTGACCAGATGCAACATACCTCTCAGAACAGATCTGTACCACCTCTCAAAGACTCAGTTCATTGTAGCGTCCTTGGGCTCTGTACCACCTCACAAAAGTGCCGCTTTCTTGTCGCAGTTCCGATGTCCAATTATGATGTAATGTCTTAGACCCATTCATTTTGGCGTCAATAAATACCCAAACCAGTCTTTCTTCCCAACATGTTTCTATTTTTGTAATGAATCCAACCAACTTCCCCTCGTCGTGTTACACTGCTAGCCCAGGCCTTCTCCGTCACGTTTGGTTTGATATAGCAAGGCGCCTGAAATGTTGGCGAGTGAGAGAGCACTTAGTTGAAGCCAAGGCGTGCCACGCCTTGTCCGTCTGCCTTCCATTGTAGGGTTCGGTCATAGAAGTGTTTGTGTTGCTGCACAGCTGCTGCCTCAGGACCCAATCATAGAGCAGAACCCTCTCGTGAACACTAAAAACCGACAGATAAATGATCTGACAAACAAATTGCTGTCAAATTTGAATAGACTCATCTTAGACAAGGCGCTGCAAGCTGCTGGTGCCGTTCACAAGGAGCCAGCCTTCCATGTCGCCTCATGGTTCGCTGATTGTTTTGACGCGATGGCCTCCAACCTAAGAGCGATAGCCTCTCACCTAAGAGCGATGAGCTGTCGTGATTTGACGTTTCAAAACGGCTGAAGGTGAACGGCTGCGTGCAACATTGTTAGGTGAGGGACTTAATCCGCCGCTATGAAAGCTGAGACCCAAGCGGCTGGTCCTTGCAATACCCAACTCCTGGTTCTGAACCGCATGGTCCACCAGCAAGGTGAAATCCTCGTCAACATGTCGTGTCCTTCTCCTTCATTTAGACGATGGCCTCCAACCTAGTAGCGATTTCCTTCACAAAAATGATGGCCTCCAGTTGTCCTATTTCTTTCCTGTTCTTTTTCATGATCTTTCGCCCTTGCCGGTTGAAACAGAACACGTGCTTCCATTAGACCTAAGTCCTAAGACCCGGCAAGGCATGCCAAAGCGCTTCTTCGAACCCTTAACCAAACACCGTTACCGAGTACCGCTGCACCGCCAAGGTCAGTCAGAAAGGTGAGAAACCGGAACTCTCCTCCACATCCGCCATAAACCTGCGGATGTCCGTCGAACAACATACTGTATCGCCTGCTGGTGGTCCAACTAAAAGTGAGCAATCTCACCAAACCAAACTCAATAGCAAACACACTTGGAGATGCAAAAAGAACGACGTCCGAAGGTGGAAACCAAATCACACGTTTCTCGAACGAAAGAGACGGACGAGGAAATCGAGTTGTTCTTGCCGACCACCGGAGCGTTCTTGCCGCCGCCTGTGTTCCGCGGCGCTGGTCACCCACAACTTGCTGCAGCCCTCTTGGCCACACGTGCTGTTGCGCTCCTGGCAGAATCCGAAATGGAGCGTTTCTTGGACTTCTTTGAAGTGGTTTCAATGTGTTCTTTTTCAGAAAACAAGAGACGATGTCTTCTTCAGTTTTACGGAAGACTTTCCGTTGTTCGGGTCCGGACCAGGTTGTTTCCTAAAGGCCGTGATATTCCAACATGCTGCATCGCAGTGTGGCGCCTGCGTGTACTCGTGCCGAAAGGTGTTGATGACCTGTGGCTCAACGGATGTTTTTTTGGTCGGTGAGGCCATCAGGACCCAAAAAAACACGGGCAAACCGCCAGCTCCATGGCAAGCCGGCAAGCTGCAATGTCATTGGGATAAACTTGCGTTCCTCCGACACCATCCACATACCTCAGGAAAAGGATTGATGAGAAAAAAACATGAATGAAAAAAATAAACATGCAAAAGGTCTCAAAACCAAACACAAAAAAACATTGCGTTTGCCGTTTGCGGCTTTGCCGTCTGCGGCTTTGCCGTTCGTACTTCCACTGTGTCGCCAAGTTGCTGACACCTCGACAGTCCAAGCGCTCAGTTGCTGAAAAAAAACAGGGAGAACATCATAAGTTCTTTGATTCTGCCCCACTATTGAGCACACAACTACCAAACATAGCAACACCACGTTTTTGAGCAAACGCCTATGTATGGAGCCAAAGCACACATAATTGGTGAACTGCCGCCAGGGACAAGAACATGAGGAATTGTCAGCCTGGAAGATCAATTCAGCAACGTTCGTCGTTCACGTAGTGAAGATGTCTATTTCTGGACTTATTCCTTGAGAACGTCGCTGATAAACCCCAGTAACCCCCTCTTGCGTCCTCTGCACGTAGCTTCAAAGCACTTACTTTGATGTTTTTTGGTTTCCTATCTGATTTCTGAAGGCCTACCACACGAAAACCATCTTCAAACGCTTCGAATCCCTGGCCTTGAAGGTGCATTGGGAAGTGCAGCAGTACGGAAGCTCCGAGACCTTCTTGAAAGCATCCTGGCCTTGACAGCCAGCCCGCTGAAAGAGTTTGCCCAACCCATCTTTATTTGGGAGAAGAGGTTGGTCTACAAGTTCAACAAGTCTAAAAGCCAGAAAAAGGTGAAGCAGTGTCCAAAAGACTGGATGACTTGGTGGCCCGAATGGAGAGCAAGTAAGTAGGAAATGTAACAAGGTAACCATGATGAAGATATGATGATGATGCTGCAGCTGCTGATGATGATGCTGATGATGATGATCACAATGGCTCTCAAGAACGACGTAAATGCGATAATCTCAAGGCAAGCCCTTGTAGTCTGATGCGTGTGCTCCCATCCGCGCTGTCTCCGCATGCAAGTGGTGGCTGGAGTTCTGAGTCTTTTGCAACACCTGCCAAGCTCGGAGAGACGAAGGTCCGATTTCCACCAACAAGCTTGGAGATGCCTTTACAAGGCTGGCGTTGATCAGAGCCTTTTGGATCAGATCAAAGCGAGTGAAAACAGCCAAAATGCAACCCAAAAACTAATCCAACAGCCTTTGACGCAAAGAAGCTGGCTGGAAGAGATAGCGATGAAACTTTGGCGCGTTGATGATGATGATGATGATGATGATGATGATGATGATGATGATGACAATGGTGGTGATGATGATGGTGATTACGATGATGTTGATGATGCTGATAAAAGATCAAGAAGGTGATCCTGAATGTGATGTCTATGATGATAAACATTTGTTGATGATGACGATAAAGATGATAGTTAGACAGTTGAAGTTGGTAGCCGCTCTTAAAGGGGAACCCTTCGCAAGTGCTTTGGGGAAAAAGTAGAATTTCCAAAACGGTCTTAACTTGTCGAACAACCGGGCGTTGCAAAATATCCAACAGCCGGATCCGGGCCGCCCCGGCAGTGGCCCTCGTTGGGGTTGCAGCTCTTCACGGTGGGTTGTTGCAGTGTCATCCTGAAGTGCTGGGATTCAAGGAAGCGTTGGGACACTAGCAGGCATTGCACTAAGGACAATTCACGGACAAGTCGGACAAATGAACAAAACAAACAACAAAAGCAAGAAGCTAACAATGGGTGTGTCTTCGAAATAATAACGAACATCCGAGTGACCGGACGCAAAAACCCTTTCAAAATGAGTCTCGTTTGGCCACGCGTTCCTTCTCTAAGGCGCAAAACCAAGTCCTCCGGACGAGAACAGTTATAGAAACTCTGTTTTTTCGGATAACACTGATCATCTTTCTTTTGTTTTGCCGGTCTGTCTCAGTCTTGCCTGATGCTCACCGTGGGCGACCTGTACGTTTGGACCGACGGCCTTCCGAAGCCTGAGAAGAGAATGAAAAAGAGACAAAGGCAATAAAGAAAAAGGTCTAAAGGAACCAACAAGAGAAAAAGGCCAAAAAAACGGAAACAACAAAAGACACAATTGCTGAACTCTGCAGTTTGAAAGGAACAAAAGCTCAGTTTCCGGTGCAACGGTCGAAATGGCCTGTACATCAAGTAGCTATTCCCACGAAGAAGCTGCCACACGACAATGTAGGTGGCCTAATCCCAGATGTTCAACGTTCCACATGTGTCCTTTGTTTTTTGTTTTTCTCTAATAGCAATGGCCTCCAACCTAAAGGTTCCACATGTTTGCTTTTCTGTTGTTTTTCTTTAGACCTCGATCTTGTTCGGTTTTGTGCTTGAAACGACTTCACGGTTCTTGTTTCAATGCTCACACGCTTGACAGGTTGTCTCCAGATCTTCCAAGGGGCAATGAGAAGCATCATGCCCTTAGCGTCAGGACAGGTTGTGATACCTGCCCTCTCTTCGCCCTCACACGATGTGGTTGTTTCTCAGCTTGCTTGACGGCTTTGCTAAAACCGGAAGGGAAAAAAGGAAAGAACATGTTCCTAGCTTCTTGCTAGTAGCGAGGCCAGTTGCGCCCCGATCGTAGCTAGCGATTCTTCGTTCGTGTTCGGAAAAACAACACCGAACGGTATCTGGTCAGCTCCGTCCGATCGGCAAAGGCGACCATATGACCGAGAGGCATATTGCAGCAGCCCCAGCCGTGCATCACGGATCCGGATCGTCTTCACAGCATCGTAAACGAAAACATCCTTGGCGCAGTCAAACGAAAGGACAAAGGAAACAGGAAAAACGGCTTAGCAATGGCCTCCAAGGAAAATTAAACAGTCAAACACCTGTGTCCTGTAAAACAGTCATTCGTCGGATCTGAACTCGGACAGTCGGACTTCCCCATCATCTCCAAGGCACGTCGCAGTCTTGACCAAAAATCGTCCGACCTTAGATGAAGAACTAGGGTGGAATGCTATTAGGTTGGAGGCCATTCCTCTGGGTGTGCTCATGTGGCATCATGTCGTGCACGACACGAAAAGCCCAACAAGAACCAGAACGCTTTTGGACAAAAAGCAACAATAGGGCACAATAGGAAGTGAAAAGAAGCATTCCCATCTATTTGCATGGAGAAAACAAAAAACATGTTCTTGTCAATGGATACATGGAATCGCACCTGTGTCTTGGTTTGCTGTTTGGAGCTGAGTCTCTGGCAGCACATGAGAACCACAAAGTGGAATATGAAGAATTTGTGTAGCGTCCTTTGCTCCTAGTAGCTTCTTGTTACTACTAGTACGGCCAGGAGCCCATAGTAGCGTCCTTTGCTCCTAGTAGAATTTGTGTACTTCCACAAGTGGTTTGTCGACGTCACGTTTTCTGCGTCCAGACTTGCACAATGTCGCAACGACAATGGCTCGGATTGTTCTGTTTTATGAGGCCCGGCAGGCTGTTCTTCGAAGCATGTTCTTCGTCTTGATTCGCAGCTGCCAAAGCCAAAGAAGAGCGTCTCAACATCTTGTGACCGCGGCATCTTGCTACGGGAAAGCTCAGAAATGGAGGCAACGAGAGAAGCTTGGTTGGTTTGCCTTGGTCCATTCCCGTGCGTGGGAGCAATGCGTTCTCCATACGAGCAGAAATTCTGAAACGGCGACGGACCTTGCTGGGCACTGGCCAAGGCAAAGGCTCCCGCTCATCTTTCAGCACCCGGTGCTTTGGGTGCCAAAAGTTACAAGCCTCGAAATCACGTCGAAGTGAAGCGAAGAGACCCAAAACACAAAGCAAAAGCGAATGCACAGCGAATGCAGAACTTTTCCAAGCATTCACAGTTTCCTGCCGACAGAAATTCACAAGCTGAAGACCGAGGTATCTGAGGTATCTGACGCCTGCTAAGCGATATCGCACCACCACGACCTCGACGCATGGCCGCCACGCTTCAAACCAGACACGCTGTCAGACGGCTCGGCGGCATCGGCGCCGGCCTGACCAGCGCGGAGGTTGACGCTGCCTCAGCTTGCGAAGCGAGAACGAGGTCGCTGCCCCATGGGCTCTGGTAGCCACACCTGCTTGGGGTTCGAACGTCCTCAACGGGACAAAGACATAGTCAAGCTTTCAGTAAATTACGTGTGGAACTTATGACACCTTACTAGTAGTAACAAGTGCCTTACTGGTAGTAACAAGAAGCTAGACACCTAATGAGGTAAACGAAATGAAATGGTCGGACCGGACGAATGCGACGCTCCGTCGAAGAGGTTGTTTGTTCCCCTTCTGACCTCTTCGGATCCCCTTCGACGTTGCTGAGTTCGCTGCTTACCGCAAGAATATCGCTGATGTTGGGGAAAATGGACTCGTACTGCCGCCTGGACACCTCAGCTCTTAGGTTGGAGGCCGCAAGTAGGTTGGAGGCCCTAGTAGTTTGGAGGCTATCGCTCTTTAGACACAAACAGAATTAGATTATATAATTTGTCTTCACCACACCCCAAAAGGATCACTTCGGCGCTTTGCTTGCTTTGCTTCCCCGCCGGCTGCTGCGCGAGGGCTCTTGCGGACATGATGTATCGCGCCAAGCACGCCTTGAGGTCACGTCAGTCTGGACACTCAATCAGTTTGTCCGCAGTTTACGAAAAATCAAAATCGATCAAGAACAGGAAGGACAAAAGCATGGAAACGTAGAGACAAACCGGACGGGCCTCTTTCATCTGTTGCGTGGCCGCCATTTCCTGCTAAGAACTTTCGGTCTGTGTTCAAGAAATTCCATTCAACTTAGACTGAATTTTATTTTGAATTGATCGTTTCCAGTGGAATTCCAACTGAACTTAAACCAAATTCCATGTCAATGTTGCGCAGATTGAGCGAATTCTACTTGATTCCAAGTCAATGAAGTTGAGTCTGTTTGGTTGGAAATCTGCACGCATTGAGTTCTTTCACTTTTGTTGTCCAGACCTTTGAACACCATTATTTTGGCGTTTCTTTAATTCTTGTTTCTAATAGCAAACATTGTTACTAGTCGTAAGGCACTTGTTTCTAGTAGCGATGCACTTGTTACTAGTAGCTAATTGTGTCTATTTTCCGCTGGATGGCGCTGTCCTTTTCACTCAATTCCTTGAAGGTACCCGTCTTCTGACTTTCTGCCTTGTCCTCGCGAGACTGGAGCGACCGGCTGCGAAAAAACAAAGCTAAACAGCCAACAGGCCAACAAAACTAGATCAAGCGCGGCTCGAACAAGAAGGCCTCGCAATGCCTCGCTTTGTTTTCTCTTTCCCGATGTTCCCTTTCCTTCTCTGCCTTCTCCGTTTTGTCTTTGCCCGGCAGAAGCGCCATCGATTTCCCTTCGCCTCTCATCAGCGGAACGCCGAGCGGCAAAAATGCTTCTTCGAAGCCGTCACTTCACTTGGATGTGCATCTACAGGCTTGTCGTGATGCCACTCCATTCTAGTCCAAGTTATCCTTATCGTTGCTAATATCTTATGTTCGTGGTTAGAAGACCCTCCAAGTAACCTTTGCCAAGAAAACCGCAACCATCTACGCCGTAAGTCTCGAAAGCTTTAGACTGCCACAGAAATTGGTCGTCAACTCTCCTTTGTTATGTGCCGTCAGACCTGCAAAAGAATCGGATGTGAAACATAGTCTTTCGAACACTGCTTTATGTGGTGTTTGTTTCTCTCAAGAAAAACACTGCTTTCAGTTCTTCAAGAAAAACCCTTTTCTCAGCGGCTCCCGTCACGGCTCCCGTCACGGCACCCGTCACGGCGCCCGTCACGGCGATTGCTAACTCTACAAGAAGAGGTTTTGGAACTCGGAACACATTTGATCACGTTCGATATTCCACAGACCTTCCACCAAACACATGCAAAACGCCCAAGAAGGCCGAAGAAAGCGCCTAGGCATTGAGTCCAAAGCACTTCGAAACCTTGAGGCCGCTGGCCGCTGCAGCTCTCAGGCGCTGCAATGTTGTGTGCCCAGTTCGTCAGCTTTTGTCACATCTAAGGCAAAGTCGGTTCAAAATGGGATAAGGAAAGTGTTCACTGACCGGTAAAAGAGCTTCCCCCAAACAAGCCGCGACGCACGCTGAACACATTCCACGGTCCAAGGCAACATGGCGCTGCCACCAATGAGCTGAACGTGTGCGACCTTGCTCTAAGGTAGCTGCGTTCGTGGAGAACTTTCTCTGTTGGCAGAGTCGCTTCAGCCTCAAACATGCGAAATCGGATGATGTGGAAAAGCGACAGAACTCATCACCTTTAAAAAAGAGAGAGAAAGAGAGACGGACCGGAAAAAGAGAGGGGTGGATGGGTGTGAAAGACGGCGGTAGAATCATCTGGGTAATACTTTGAAGAGGTGCGCTAGTGTAAGAAGCTCGAGATATTTGTGGTGGTAGATGACGGCCACAAGCACCACCGATCCTCGTTTTTTCGACAGAAGTTACTGCGCCAGAGGCAATTTCAACCAATTCTCCATCTCTCATTCACGAAAACTGAAAGTCCTAAGTCACTGCTGCGATGCTTTGCAAAGGCATTCATGGCACAGTCAAAATTCATCTTCCAGATGAGCTTGAGCATCTCCCATGTTGTTTTATTGAGATGTCTTCACAAGGCAGATCGGGGATTGAATGACCTCCAACCTACTTGCGGTGGCCTCCAACCTGATGAAATTGGCTGGTCTGCAAACATGGCGACCCATGCTCAGAACGAGAGGCAAAGCGACAAGCAGGGCATAGCATCGACGAAGGCAGGGCGTTTGCGACTCCACCCCGAACGACCCAGCACCGCCCAGCACCCGTGCACATTCAAACAAGGACGCTACTAGGGGCTCCTGGCATCGCTACTAGTAACAAGCGCATTTTAGACCATGATTATTGTTCTTTTCAATCTCGATCAGTTCGATATTTCATGACGACTACTAGCTTCAGACACCGCAACGTACCGCCGACTGCCTTTTCATCATCGCTTCGTACCTGGCAAGCTGAGTGATCGAACACCTGGAAAGCAAGGAACAGGTCTTAAGAAGGGTAATAAAAAGAAAACACGGAAAGAGGAGAAACCGAAAACAAAGAAACTTCCAGAAGCCTTCTTGTTACTAGGAGCAAGAAGCTCCCAGTAACCTCCTGGCCATACTACCAGAAACAAGAAGCTACTAGGAACAAAGGGCATCGCTACTAGGAGCAAGAAGCTACTAGGAACAAAGGGCATTAGCAAGAAGCTACAAGTAGTTCACAGGCGCCAAGTCATTCATTCTGACAGATTTCTTACGTCTCGGGTGCGGAGGCACGGGGCATCGGGTCCGGTGAAGCCTCCAACTAAGCAAGTCGACGTTCTGTCGCTGTCAGGCCAGGAGCCCCCTAGTAGCGTCCTTGTTACTACTAGTAAGGCACTTGTTACTACTAGCGATGCACTTGTTCCTAGTAGCTACTTGTTCCTAGTAGCGATGCCAGGAGCCCCTAGTAGCGTCTCCTTTTTTGTCGAGTCAAGTTAGTAGAGAGAAAAGAATTCACCCCCGACCGTTGTGAAGTGGACGACAAACATATTGAAACTTGGAGGCGGTCGCTTTGGAGGCCATGGTTTGTTCCGAACCGTACGGTGAATCAACCTCTGGGCCTCATGGACTTCATGAAGGACTTAAAGTCTCTGGCACATTGTTTGAACCGTTTCCAACATGTGTTATGCCCTCCTTTGCCCCTGCTTTGCTCCTGAAAAAGTTCGTTTGGAATGCCTAACAATGCCTAACCATGTGGATGGATGTTTTCACGTTCATTCTGCAGCGGTCTGTAAGGACCGAATACGAACTTCGAGCCCACTTGGCTCACTTCAAGGACAGCTTGAGGAGGGAGACATGCATGGCGCCGTTTATGCCGTTCCACCCTCAGACAGGGAGGCAGGAGCCAACCCAAGAGCGACCTCCAACCTAGTAGCGATCGATGGTTTCTTTAAGCTGTTCTTTCCTTAGACCTTTCTTCCTTTTCTTTCTTTGTTTATCGTTTCTTTCTTTTTTGTTTTTTCTTTTTTAAGAAATATAGGTTCTTTTTCTTTTAGATCTTTTCTTGTGTATTTCTTCTTTAGACCTTTTTTGTTTAGACCTTTCTTCTTGTTTTATCGTTTTACCGTTCCTTTATTCTATCCCACTGGATCACCAAACAGGCAAGATGTGGGAGCTTCCAATGGGCCCCGAAAATTCGCTGAGCACACTTCGCTGAGCTCAGCACTGCAAGCAACGTAGGCCCAAAGCGTTGAAGCTTTGCTCCGCCAGAAAGGGTTCCAACGCCCAATCGGCCTGGGTTTCACACATTTCGTACCTCACCTCATGAAATAGGAGCAATGTTCGCCTCATTACTGCCACTTCTCTGACATCCGTCCCAGACGGAGAAAAAAGTGATTTTCTTGCTCCGTTTGCCGCTTCCTCGACCGTCGAGACAGCGGCTCCGTTGGCCGACAGAGTCGTGCCTCCAGAGGTAGACGCGTCAATGCCTGCTCCAAGAGTGGAGGAGGAAGATGACTTTCTCCAGCACCTGGTTTTGGAAAGATGATGTTCAAAAAGAAAAACAAGAAAGAAACAAAGTCCAAAGGTTCAAAAAGGTCTTTTAAAAGAGAAAGAAACAACGGAAAGCAAAGAAAGAACACACTTAGACTATTCCAGACCTTAGGCCTCGGAGCGTAATTGGGGAATCAAAAACAAACAGATTGGAAAATGGATCGTTCGTGATCATTCTCTCTTAGGTTGGAGACCATCGCTAAGTATTGGAGGCCATTCTCATCTGGACATCTTGCGAAGCAAAGCAGCTGGAGGCTGGCGGAAGAGCCCTTGGAGTCTAGGAGTTTCAAACCCTTTCTTACCCCGTTCGTAGCGATGCCCGAAATGCTCCTAATAGCAATGCCCTTTGTGACGTTCGTAGCGTCCACTTGTTCCTAGTAAGGCCAGGAGCCGCTAGCAGCGTCCATGCTCCTAATGCTCCTAGTAGTCTCTTGGCCTCGGCTCTCTGCCCTTAATATTCTAAGTAGGCGCCTAGTAACAAGAAGCTACTAGGCTGGAGGCCATCGCTATTAGGTTGGAGGCTAACTAGTTAAGTTTCACAAAAAATCTAGGAACCAAATCCTTAGTGTGAGCGCTTCTTCAAGGAAGCTTCCCCCGCCGCCCTGTCGGGGGAGTTTCCTTGAAGAAGCGGGAGCTATCCTGCGTCCAGTAGTTAGCGGCTACTTAAAATACTAGCTACCTAGCCACTAGCTACCTCTTAAATTCTTATTGTTACTACTAGTAAGGCACTTGTTACTAGTAGCGATGCACTTGTTCCTAGTAGCAAAAGGAACCTAATAAGCTTCGGACTGTTCTTCTCATTCTCAACAAGTTCTGTCTTCACTCTGAGGTCTCCAGCTCCAAAACCGGCAAAAGCGCGACAGGTCCTGCCAAATATGTCAGGATACGGCCAACATGGCCAATTGGCTGTGCTAGGCCATTCCATGTACAGCGAGTGACAGAAACTTGCCCAGCGAATTGTAGAGGAATTCTTGCGCAAAAACAAGCGAATCATGTCCTCTTCCCGAATCTTAGTAGGTTAGAGGCCCGAACGCTTTTAGGTTGGACGGCATCTTGCAGTCCAGTAGAGAGATATCCAGGTGCTCCACGCCACAGAAGTGCTCTCCAAGCTGAGCCTCAGCCCACAGCCCACAGCACCCCACGGAAACGCATGAGTTTACACTGTGTTTCATACATCTAGGCACTTCAGCTTGAAGCGTTAGCTTTCCTGCGTCCGGTAGCCGTAGCCACCTACTTCATCACTAGTAGCTACCTCTTACCTAGTAGCAATGGCCTCCAACCGAATTTTTACTTGTTAGCTACTTGTTAGCTACTACCTCAAGACCCAACGACCCATTCAAAGCTGAAAAAAAAGAAAACAACTCATTCCAAGAGCTCCACGCAGTCCAGAAAGCCTGGCCTCGGCAGGCTTCCCACTCTGATGAACCCCGAAACGAAACGAAGAATTTCGAACGCTTTTGGAGTCTGGCCTTCCGCCTTGCCCAAAGGAAAAATGATCAGAACACGTTCTCAAACCCGCTCAAGTGAATGAAGATGTCTGATTGTGATGTGAATCTCCGCCGAGGGAAAGGCAGCTTGGCTCGGCCAAAGCCGTGTTTGACCTGCTCGGCTGGCTGCTCTTGGGGGAAGCAAAATGTGTAACACCAATAGCAAGTGACAGAACTGTTTGAAACAGTAACAAGAGGACGCTACTAGGAACAAGAAGCTACTAGGGGCTCTGGCATCGCTACTAGGAGCAAGGACTCTACTAGTAGCTGTAGGGGCGCTCCTGGCCTTACTACTAGGAACAAAGGGGTCTTAGGGACGGAATAGCAAACAGAACTGTTTTCATGTTCCGGCCGCTCGCAAGGTGGTTGAGGCATCGCACGCCCGCTCGTCGGGGAAAAGGATCTTGAGGAAAGGAAAGAGATAGCATCCTTGCTCCTAGAAGTAAGGCCAGGAGCCCCTAGTAGCATCCTTGCTCCTAGTGAAGGTTTCTATTAGTGCGAGGAACAAAATCATTAGCGCGAGCGCTTCTTGTAGGAAGCGTGGGCTATCCCACGTCCAGTTACTAGAAGTTAACTAGTCGCCCTTACTCAATTAGGTAGTCGCCTACTTACAGTAATTAAGTAGGAGCGAGCTAAAAAGTGAACAAGGATTGTTCTCCATCACACACAATCTTGAGCTACAAGAGGACGCTACTAGGGGCTCCTGGCATCGCTACTAGGAGCAAGGATGCTATTAGTACCTCCTGGCCTTACTACTAGGAGCAAGAAGCTACTAGGAACAAAGGGCATTTCTACAAGGAGCGATCGGACGCTACTAGTAGCTCCTGGCCTTACTACTAGTAACAAGGACGCTATTATTAGGAGCCACAAGTCAAAGTTGAATTCCGCCTCGAGGTGTCCATAAACCTCATTGATGGAGACACCCACGGGGGCAGCCTCAACGATTTCAAGAAACTTGCGCAGACCCCAAACAGAAATTCCAATTCCGTTGGTGGAAACGTCTTGATACTCCTTTACTAGTAGCTAAGAAGCTACTAGGTTAGGAACAAAGGGCATCGCTACTAGGAACAAGGACGCTACTAGGGGCTCCTGGCCTTACTACAAGGAGCAAGGTTCGCTACTAGTAACAAGTGCATCGCTAGTAGTAACAAGTGCCTTACTAGTAGTAACAAGAATCTTCTAGGAACAAGTGCATCGCTACTAGAAACAAGTGCCTTACTAGTAGTAACAAGAAGCTATTAGCTAAAACTAGAAGTTCTTATTGTTTTTTCACTAGGAACAAAGGGCATCCCAATGCGACTTCCGAAGGCTCCCCGCGAAGCTGAGACGGCGTCTGAACCTGAAGACTGGGCGAGTTCCAAACGCAAAGTGTGCACCCCTAGGAACAAGTGCCACGCTACTAGGAGCAGGTGCCTTACTAGTAGTAACAATGTTTGTTAGTAGAAACAATAAGCTAATAGCGAACCTTGCTCCTAGTAGCGAGGCCAGGAGCCCCTAGTAGCGTCCTTGCTCCTAGTAGCGATGCCCTTTGCTCCTAGTAGCGAACATTAAACTATACCAGCAGTAAGGCCAGGAGCTACTACAGCTACTAGTAGCGTCCGATCGCTCCTAGTAGCGATGCCCTTGTTACTAGTAGCCTAGTAGCTTCTTGAGATTTCTCGTACCATATCATATCTCTTTTCCGGGGCTTCTCGCGATTCGTTGACGAGGTTCGAAATTGTGTTCGTTTGACTTCTGACTTTTGGCTTCGGATTCAAGCTCCCTGCTCCTCCACTTCGATGCCACTATGTGCCTGAGTCGACGCGAGCTCGATCTACATGCGCACTCTGTTTGATCTCAACCTTCCCACTTCAAGGGATTGAAGAATCGCGGCCAACGCCCACGTGAATAAGTACTACTAGCGTGGCACTTGTTACTACTAGTAAGGCACTTGTTTCTA